TAAAAAGTGTACTCAGTGAAAATTAAGGGGTATAAATGGGTACTGTCAAAAGTACCCAAAATATAAAAATAAAAATAGTAATATTCCTAGAATAATATTCCAGACTTTTGGGTAAAGTTTGGTAATTATTGGAGTTAAATAGATAGACGAACCAATACCCGCTTAGAGCCACTTAACCTATGTTAAGTGACTTAAGTCACCAAATGACCCTCATTTCCCACCCAACCCGTCGAACCAGAAAGGAGAAGAGAAGAGAGGGAGAAGAGAGGGAAGAAGAAAAGGGAAAGAGAGAGAGAGAGAGCTAATCCCAACGGTTTTGGGTGATTCAAAAGCCTAAATCGCTTAGAATCTCGCCCTCTTTCATAATCCTTGCTTTGTTTTGAGTGGGGAGCATTGTGGAGAGAGATATTACCTCTCAAAAATTCGGCCCTTTGGTGAAAATTGGGGTTTTGAGAGTTTCTACCTCCATTGAAGCTTGAGGAGCCATCAATCCTTGGTTGTGTGACCATTGGTGGTAAGATTCTAACCCTTGAACCTCATGATTCCTAGAAATTTGCATGAGTTAGGGTTTGTGAATAGTAAATTGGGATTTTTATGAAATGTAGTTGAATTAGCTATGTTCTAGGAAGAATGGAGCTTAGAGCATGTTATGGAAAATGCTAGGAATGTCATTTAATCGGTGGAAATGAGCCTAGATAGTCATTTGATAATTGTTCATAATATTGGAAAATTCATGTTTGGATTGGTTAGTATTCTAGCATGTTGAACAATTAGTGAGTTGAATGATTGATTGGGTCCTTGTGATGTCTAGGATTGAGACATTTGGACCAACGGTGAGTGATCAACCATTGGAGCAAGCTATGGAGCTTGAATAGCTCATTGGAATTGGTAAGCTCATCCTTGTGTTGTGGTATGAATAGGATAGCTTGGATTGATGATGATGAGTTATCCTTGAATGCAATATGTTAATTGCATTACCCTTGTATAGGTGTATATTTGTAAAAGTTGATTGCTGAAACTGTTGGTGAAGAACAAAGGTTGACTGAAGCATTGAGGTAAGCCTTCGGACCTTGGGTGTAATTCCCTTGACTGTTCTACCAAGCCCTGAAAGGGTGGAGGTTGTGATTGTGTATATAAATGCAATAAAATAGTGTAATGTTTTGTTATACGTATGTGTATGCATTTGGTGTGGCATAGGATGGTGTTTCCCTATGTTGGTATGTGGCATGACGATGCGTAAATCATACTTGGTAGTTAGCTGGCCAGTAGGACTATTTGCATCTGAGTTTCCTTAGGACAGCTTGAGAGCTCGAGGGATTTCTCCTAGAGATGTATTGCACTTTGCATAGATATGTATTTACTGCATTATTGTTATTGCTATTACACTGATATGGAACTGTGGGGTGGAGAGATGCTCCAAGGACCCCTGGTTTACTGGATATATTCGTATATCTCACCCCGTGTTGTGGGGACCCCCTTTCAGGTAAGGATGCTGCAGGAGCCTCTGGTGGCAAGTGGCCATACCTAGATCATGCATGAAATATGACACTTCTTTGAGTTTATGCATGCCTTTTGTAGTTGACATGTATAGGATTTTATTTTGAAAGCCCATGATCATTTGTATATCTTGATTCATTGGATGAACTTAGCCTATGCTCATGCCTTTGGTTACACCTTTTGTTGATGGGAGCCAAGGGAATGATCATAGTGTTTTGTAAGCTAAGTTCTATGATTTGTAAAGGATATGTAATGTAAATGATGCCTACTTGGAATTCAATATATGCATGCTTGTTATGTATTGAGTTGTTGAATTGGTTGGGCTGAAAATCAATTAGGTACCCTCTTCGTTTAAACTGGTAAACGATGAGAAAACAAAGGTCATGCTGCCCAAATTCTAGCTAAATCTCATGAGGAGAGGTTGGATGAGTGCTAGGATTTAGTTTTGGGGCATGGACATTTGGGGTTTGTAATGGGGATGCATTTTCCTCTAGGCTTGGACTTGAGAAATGTGGGAATTGGAATTCCCTGGCAGCGCGCTTAAGCGCCCAGGAGCGCGCCCAAGCGCCCTGCTGCCCCTGCGAGTGCCAATGCATTCTGCCTCCTCGCGCTGGAGCGCCCAAGTGGGGGCTTAAGCGCCCAGGATTGCGCGCTGGAGCGCCCTGGCGTGCGCTTAAGCGCCCCTTGCTGCAGAAAGTTGGGTGGCTTACTGCCCCCTCGTGTTTTAGCGCCCAGGGTTGCGCGCTTGAGCGCCCTGGTCCGCGCTTAAGCGCCCTTCGCCACTGAAGGAGGAGATGCTTCTGTCTCTGCGCGCTAAAACGTCCCCGTGGGAGCTTGAGCGCCCAGGATAGCGCGCCTGAGCGCCCTGTTGCGCGCTTAAGCGCCCATCCACACTGGAATGCCTGATGCTTACTGCCTCCGTGCGCTTAAGCGCCCAGATGGAGGCTTTAGCGCCCGATAGCGCGCGCTTGAGCGCCCGGTAGCGCGCTGAAGCGCGCTGGGCCTGTGACCAACACTCTCTTGTGTTGCTCCAAATTGTCCTAACTTGGGCTACAGTGCCCCGATTTGAGCACGGTTTGAAGCCACAGGTAGCTAATGAAGAAACCTACAATATAGTAGAAGAAGTAAATTAATGATTTAAAAATGGAATAAGAACATGATGTTAAGCTTAATTGATATGATTCCGCAAGGTAATACGGTTATGATCACGGAATTGGGTATTATAAATTCGGTATGTTTTAAAATGAAAAATTTATCCGGATTTTAATTGAACCCATGTGATTGTAACTGCGCTTAATATCATAATGCGATGTTAACAAACCGGTTCTAGAACGGGGTGTTACAAACGTCCCTTGCCAAGGAATTTCTAGCAACAACTCCTTGAAATTTGCTCGGATCTCTCCCAATTCCTCCAACCAAGCGAAACCCAGAACCAAATCCACACTGCTCAGGTTGAAGACAAAGAAATCCTGAGTTATAGACAAACCTGGCAACTCCAAACCGAGGCTCTTGCATACTCCCTTACTGCCCATGCGATGCCCATCGCCCACCTCCACCTTGGAACTCCGTGTCTCGTCGATGGGTAAGCCCAGCGCGTTCACCAGCTTGTCAGCGACGAAGTTATGAGTAGCCCCTGTATCGATAAGAACCACCACCCTCTGATTCTTCAAGTGTCCCCACAGCTTCAGAGACCTATTCGAAGTCCAACCCACTACACTATGCATGCTCAGTTGGATCGCTTCTTCTTGTTCCCTTTCTCCCACAGCCTCCTCCTCCGCCGCAACTTCTCCCTCTCCTTCGCCCAATATCAACACACTCAAGTGAGCGTACTGACAGACATGCCCTGGCCCATAGGGTGCGCCACACTTGAAGCACGTATTACGCCTTCTTCTGTCGTCCATTTCTTCCTGACTCAATCTTCTATAGTTCGATCTCTGGGACCCCATGCCACCACCAACGGACGAGTGGCTTCCCCCAGAGCTCATCGCGTTCGAGTTTGATTGGTTAGGGCTTACACTCGGTGCCGACACCGACACCCCATGCGTTGCGTTTTGACCCTGGGCTGAGTGATTATTAAAAGGCCCATTTCTATTGGGCCCATTCCTCCCTGGCAACGCGGATCGGCCCGAATGGGATCTAGCAAACCCACCTCCCCCTTTCCATTCCATCGTCACTCTCCCCAGCTCCTTCTCCCTTTCCTCTACCTTCTGTGCTAACATCATGGTCTGACCCAGATCCCCAGGAGAATGTAGCCTGACCTCAGCGCGAATCTCCTTCTTCAACCCCGTCAGAAAGGCTGCTTGCATCATATCGTCGCGAGCATTCCTCAATGGTGCTGATAATATCTCAAACTTCTCCCTGTATTCGGCTACAGTTCCTTCTTGCCTCAACCCCATCAATGCCTCATAGGGATTCCCCGTCGAAGACACATGAAATCTCTGTAGAATAGCGTTTCTGAGGCCCTCCCAGTTCATCGCTGGGTTACGCGGTTCCCACCACTGGAACCAACTCAACGCGCGACCTTCCAAGCATATGGATCCGGTCTCTACTTGTTCTTCAGCGGGAATATGATTGATACGAAAATACCTTTCCGCTCGAAAGATCCACCCGTACGGATCGTCTCCATTGAAGTAGGGTACCTCCACCCTTTTCATCCGTTCCTCACCTCTCAACACACGGTGAAGTTCTTCGTTAGTTCCCCCATGATGACCACCTCCTCCTTCATTTGTTCCACTCTGATTTCCGGCGGCTGCAAGCTCCTGAAGGGTACGCATCATTACGGCCAAATTAGCCTCGATACGATGGATTCCTTCCTCTGTTCCCGCAACTCTTGCTTCCAACGCCTCCATTCGATGATCCATGTTTCGTGTTAACACCATTCACAACCGTTCCCAGGTAAAGAGCTTTGATACCAATTTAATGGCACCAGCAATGTTTAATAACAAACCAGCAATCACAACAGTAACTTCAATATTAATGACTCAACTGAACACGTTCATCCAATATTGCATTAATTTGGTTTGGGAATAATTCCCTTACAATCAGAATCAAGAAGGTAAATAACCAACTATAAAATAGCTATTACATACTCCATACTCATATTGCTGATATCCATCCTATTACATACTACGATACCCAAGTTCACCACACTGAACCCCACATCCAGGTGCTACTCCTTACTTTCCACTTTTCAGAATGATCTTCTCCTCCTTCTAACCGTCTCCTTATTCCCTATTCCTCACAGCTCATCACAGCCCCTTCCCCCACGTGACCCTCTCCATTCACAGCATCCCACGTGGCATTGTTTATAACTGATTTCTGCCTCATATGAATTCCTTGCTCTTCTTCCTTACTTCCTTTTTCTCCCGTGCTTGTGTCGTCCACTTGGCCCACTGTGCTGTTTCCTTCCACTTGGGCCTTCTCAGCTTGGGCCTCTTTACTGATACTGCTGCCTTTCACTTGTGTCTTAACTCTTCTGCGTGTATAAAATTGACTAAAAGGCCTTAGGGGCCTATCAGAATGGAAGTGGGCTGGGGGTGCAGTTGTGGAGAGGGTGGCCCATTGTGTTGAAGGGAAACAACAGCTGAGTGGGCCTGATTATCAGTGGGCTTGGTCCGGTTCCTGTAACCTGGGGGAAACCCATGCAACTTGAAGCATTTATCAATGGTGTGGACCTGCTGGGAGCAATGGGTGCAGAATGGACGATCACAGCGGGGTCGTGGCGGTCCGGCAGCGACGTTGACGGCGGGAACGGCAGCGACGTTCACGGCAGGAAGCAACTGAAGGTCAGAAGCAGGAACCATTCCAGGTAGGATGGATCGTTGTCGTTCTTCCTGAACCACCAAGGAAAAGATGCGATTCAGGGAGGGGAGAGGTTCCATCAAGAGGATTTGAGCGCGAGTAGCAGAGTAAGACTCATTGAGACCCATGAGGAATTGCAGAGACGAATTTTGTTCTTGAAACTGGGTCCAAGTACGAAGACCACCGCAATTGCAGACCGGAACTGGTTGATAAGCATGAAGCTCGTCCCATAGAGTCTTCAATCGAGTGTAGTAAGCACTGACAGTAACTGAACCTTGTTGGAGGGAAGCAAGTTGGGACTTCAACTGAAAAATGCGTGGAGCATTGCTCTGCTCAAAACGAGCAGAAAGGTCAACCCAGATGCCATGTGCCGTCGGAATATAAAGGACACTATATGCAATTTCGCGAGTCACGGCATGAAACAAGCAAGAAGAAACCATACTGTTGCACCTAACCCAGGAAGGATAAAGCAGGTCATCAGGGGATGGGGAGGGTAGAGACCCATCGACAAACTGATATTTATTTTTGGCTTGAAGAGCCATAACCATGGAACGACGCCATGTGTGAAAATTTGGACCAGAAAGAGGGTGGGCAACAAGGACAAGGCCTGGATGGTCAGCACTATGAAGGAAGTAAGGACTAGAGGAATCATCATGGGGTGGGTCAGATCCTCCGGCAACGTTTTTTCCTCACGCCATGGAAAAAGGGGCGGAAGACTTAAACTACTGATACCATATTAGAGGAGAAAGAAAACTGAATGTATTTTCATATTCATTGATTGAATTATAATGTGTACAGTACATAGCAATTTATACAGAAGAAAAGAATGCTTCTAGAACCTATTCTGTTCTAACTAACTTGCGTATTCTCAGGAAAGGAATAAAAAGAATAAAAGGAATAAAAATTTAAAACTGATAACAAAAACTATAACAGAATGATAAAACTAAATTACAAAACTATCCCACTCTTAATAGGATATGATCATCCTATGGGTGGTCTAACAATTCCTTGCGGGGAAGATGCTTTCTCAGACCTCACTTCTCGCTTTAATGGACTATAAATCATACTGAAGGAGACTAACATAGATTTAGCTGAGGCAAATTGTGCAGCTGCCATTTTATTATTTTTCTTTTGTAAGTGGAAAATGCCACTGAGTGAGATAGTTATTAACAGAGGAATTAGACATTTTGGTCAAATTTCAATGAATTTATATACACTTTTTTCTGCCAAAAAATTATATATATAGACAGCTGTTGTTTTCAATATTTTCTTTTTCAGTTTTTTTTTTCCTTTGTTTTTCTGGTACTGTGGTAATAATGCAGGTCAAAGGAAAACAAAAATTATAATGTTCCCACAGAATGACACGTACTATTTCTTTCAGAGAAGGAAGTCGTAATGAGAAGTGGAATTGAAAACTTGAAAATCGAAATTGAAGAGCAGTATATTATCATAGGCATAAGATATAAGGAAATGGTATTATAGAACTGTAGGCTGAAATTCTGTCATTGAATATACTGGTACAAGATTCTAATATTTGGAGGATGTCAATTTGATTTGACCTAACTTAAAGATTCTAAAGCAGATAAAATATAATTAGTGTGGTGATAAACATGGTCGCTTTTGTAACCCACAAAAGAAGAAAGTTAAAAATGTACCTAGTTGGAAACTTCATTTCTTCTTCTTCCTCTGTTCTCGTATGAAAGAGATCACCATGAGCCTGAAAAAATCATTCCAATTCATTTTCATTCTCTCTTTCTTCATTAGTACTTCCATTTTATTCTTTCTTTTTGTTTTAGTCTATGAATTTCTAAATTAGTTATTACCATCTTGCACTAAATTATAACACTATCATACTAGCGATCAACTTAAATTATGCCTAAAACTGGAAATGATATAAAATCAAAACATGTGCTAGCTGATCACAATCAGAATAGCTAGAATCAATCCTAAAATTAGTGGAGTGACTATTGCCAATAGTATATTGTTGAAATAGCATGTGATATTGCTTCCGGGTATGGTGCTAAAACGAGAAGCCAATTTGGGCTAGAAGGAAAAAATATATTATTATGTCAATATTTTTCTTTGCTTTTTCTGGGTTAATCGATAAATCAGATATAAAAGGATAGTAACCTGGGATTCTTGTTGCGCGAGCTATCCTCGAACAATACTTCTTGGCTGGACTAAAACCTGAAATGAAAGACTATTCATAATTGGATGGAGAACTGATTAATGATTTTAACAACTCGATGATGTTCTGAGTTGAACTAATTTCAGCTTGAGTTCATAACAATGATTAATTAACAACACTTTTTAGTTTATACGGTAAAACAAATTAAAACACATCTGTTATTTGATTTATAGTTGAATATCTGCATAACATGTAAAATTTACAAAATCTACGTAATCGATGAGAGCAATTATGTAATAAACATATTTGATGAGAGTATTTACTTTTAGAGAAAAAAGAAAGAAAAGAAAACCAGTTTCTATTTTGCCTATGAAAATTACTTTTTGATATTAGAATTCATTGAGATTTGGCAAAAGCTAAAAGTGTTTTAACAATGTATTGTCATAACTTTCTCATTCAGATAACAATTTTCCACTTCCAAAGGAATCATACAAGGAAGAAACTAAAATGGAAAACCTTTAAAATGACAAAAAGTTCCTACTGTACAAATTTGTCTCTTCTAATCTATCTCAATCTCCATTAGAATGTTACAGGACATTCAAACGAGAAGTGAGGCAAAGGAATTCATCCTCCCTGCATGGAATTGTGAGACCACCAGTTGGATGATCATATCCGAATTCTTCTTGTGCTTTACTTAGTAATTCTTGAAATGAAGGCTGGTTCAAGTACGATATAGGAATGATGAACCGCCTCATTTTATCTCCAACATACACTGCAAGGTAGCCTTTTGGTACTTCAACACACTTGGAGGTTGCTTGGGTTGCTGAAAATGATGTCCGTCTAATACTGGGTATGCGGAAACCCATTGATTTCTGTTGCTCCACACAGAACAATATATTGATCTCAGAGGACTTGTATAAGAAAGAAATATTTAAGTTCTTATGCTTCAGGATGCAAAATGACTTGTATTGCTTGAGAACCCAATAACCAGTGTATATATAATTGCTAAGGGCCTCTGCAATCAAATTCCACAATATTAATGAATGATTTTGACCAGACTATGATGGGGTCTACTAAGAGACAAGGGATCACATGGTATTGTCTTAGAAGACTCTTTCAACTGATGACCCATTTGAAATTAAAGACATCTGCATAGGTGAAACCAAATGTTTGTTCATGTATTGTGCTGTAGCTAATCCAATGGTAGACATGTTTTAGACATCTCACATGTTACTTAGGATTGACAAGACTGCTGATATACATCTGCCAACTAATATCACATTGACGGAATGCAACCTCTAAACCTTGAGCAGGACCTGATTGGTAGCTCATGAAACAATGTTTATAAGCAAGAAGAGAACCAATATTTACATGATCACGAACCACAATGAACCACATTTTTTATGTTCATCAGATTCTAAGCAACACCCCGTGAAATTTGCATACATGGAGTTGATGGCCCCCACCTCCCGAAAATAAGGGTCGACATGTTCCAATTAGACTTTCTTTTGCACAGATACGTCTGTTTTATTTCAAGTGAGGTAATCTGCTGGCCTTGGGTCCAGAAGGTGGGACTTATGTTATCTACAATAACGTGTTGCATTGATCCTTGAGAAAGTACACTAAGACAACACCATGTGACCTCTTATATGCCATTGTCTCCCATTAGGTCCCATGACTCGCATCTAATAGCCCTCCTCCACCTGATCATTCAAGTTTCTAACATATCCGTTTATCTATATATATTCATGGCTGCAAGCATTCAGAACCAACTCAAATCATTCACACCCTGAAACATTATAAATTCAAAACCTTGCATATTTTTTACAAGTCTTTTTTTAGACCTTTCTCTTCTCAACCTGTAATACATATAGCAATGGGTTTTCGTTTACCCGGTATCAGAAGGGCGTCAATTGCTAGAAACCAAACATCTTCAAAAGGAGTGGACGTGCCAAAGGGCTATCTTGCAGTGTATGTTGGAGAGAAAATGAAGCGGTTTATGATCCCCATTTCATACTTGAGCCAACCTTCATTTCAAGACTTGTTGAGTCAAGCTGAGGAAGAGTTTGGATATGATCATCCCATGGGTGGCCTCACAATTCCTTGCAGCGAAGATGTGTTCCAACATATAACTTCTCGCTTGAATGGCCTGTAATTGTAAATCTCACACCATAGGAGACTGACATAGATTAGTAGAGACATTTTTGTACAACTTTAACAGGCATCATCCTAACTTGTAAAGATCCTCTTTCTCATAGAACGGGAGAGAAAAAAAATACAATCAGAATGACAAATTCATGTCTTCTGTTTTTATGTGTAATGACAATGAATTCAACTAATCAAGTGGATTCTCTGTATTTTCTGTTTATTATTAACAAAATTACAATGTTCATTTCTCCCTGCACTTAGGATCTTACCAAGAAGGAGCAAGGTTGCTTGTTGTAAGAAAAACCAGACTTCGTTGATAAATATCAAAACAGGAATAGAACACGTGATTCCTAGCAAGTGCAGGGCAAAAGTAGTTTTTCATAGGATCAAGGAAAATGATAAATTTATTTGGGAAAAAGATAAAATATATAGATAATACTCATGAAATTAAAATTTTGGGGTGCCAAGGCCACAATCACAGATGAGGTAACTTCCCTGGCAAGGCAGGTGCACAATTACAATGGACTTAGCATCAAGGTTGAATTATTCCCTGCAATAGCAGTGGCCAAATTCTATACCTAAAGCTTTCTCTCATATCATTGACATAACGTAGGCTTTATCTATAATTTCATATCTGTAAATTTTCTCTTCTATCTATATTGAAGTTTTAGATATGCCTCAAAATTTCCAAAATTCATTGATCAGGGCTGTATTTCTCAGATTTCAGGGCTATTTGTGTTGAGGGTTAACCACAGTTGCTCAACAATTTCAGATATTCTCATTCTAACTAGCTCAGTGGCCGAAGTGGAAAATTTAAGGAAAAAACTAGATCTAAGTGCTTTAATACCATTATTTCAATATTAATTATCCAAAGGCATTTGTTTTAAGCAATCTCTTCAAACTTTGCTTTTTAACCAAGTGCTTTGTAGTAAAAGAGCCCCCCACACCAGAACTTTATGTTTCCGGTGTGAGACTCCAAGTTCCATACCTTGTGTAACCTAAGACCATAAGAAAGCTCACAAACTTTGGCTTGGCTCTACCAACAGGATATTCATCTAGTCATAGCAATTAAGCAAATCAACGAAGTTCCAAATTTAAATTTTGTACCCTTTATAAGGCACGGCTATAATTAACTGTCAACACAACCTTTTAATTATTGTATTGCATGGAGTAATGGGTGTACTTCTTGTACTACTTTTGTTACGGGAAGGGCGCAACAGATCTACATATAAACCACCCTAATGTAGACATTTTTTTTTTTTTACCGTCTTACTGATTAGGGAATTGGTTGGCTCAAGTCTGGGACCACACTTCTTGTCTTCCAAGTACTAGTAATATTAATCAGGAAACATAGGATATTGTCACAAAATGTGGTCTTCCCTTGCCTCCAATTCCATTATTATTTTATAGCTATCAACTAGATTTCAGGGTCTATATATCAGACTCCAAGAACTGGTAGTTAATCAATATTAAGAACTTATGTGATAAGTTTTGAGCCTGTCTGGAAAATAAGAAGGCCATTACATCAACTATGCAATTATTAGCTTATTGGCTGTAAAAGTCTCTTTCTAAAGGGGCAACCAAGTTGGCATGAAATTTGAAATCTGAAGTAATACTTGATAAAAACCATTAGGACAATACCATGTAGACCCCATCAAATAGCCCACCAACCATTCAATTCAGTAGAGATTTTTTTCAACAAACTCGTATATCTATCTATATATACACTCATCATGGCATTCTCAACCAATACAAGACATTCAAAAAATTAAGAATTCAAATATTTCTTTCTCACACAAGCTCTTGCATTCATTGTATTGTTCTTGGTGTTTTGCAACTCATAACAATGGGCTTCCGTTTACCTGGCATTAGAAGGGCATCATTCGCTGTAACCCAAGCAGCTTCCAAGGCTGTGGAAGTCCCAAAAGGCTATCTTGCAGTGTATGTTGGAGAGAAAATGAAGCGGTTTGTGATTCCCATTTCATACTTGAATCAACCTTCATTTCAAGAATTACTAAGCAAAGTAGAAGAAGAATTTGGATATCATCATCCAATGGGTGGTCTCACAATTCCTTGCAAGGAAGAAGCTTTCCTAGACCTCACTTCTCGCTTTAATGATCTATAAATCATGCTGAAGGAGACTAACATAGATTAGTTGAGGCAAATTGTACAGCTGCCACTTTTTTATTTTTCTTTTTCATCCTTCTTTTGTAAGTGGAAAATACCACTGAGTGAGATACTTATGAACAAATTAGACATTTTGGTCAAATTTCAATGAATTTATATACACTTTTTTTCTGCCGAAAAATTATAAATGTTTTTCATATTCTCTTCAAAGATTTTTTTTCCTTTGCTGCTGCTTGTTGGAAATGAAATAACAGAACAAATATAATGAAACGAGAATTTTTATTATATCAAAATTTCTCTCAAGAACAAAGTCTTACAACACAAATCTCTATTTGTATTTTTAACAAATTTTTTTTCTCTCAGGTGTTTCAACATTTTCTTTTCTCACACTTTTACACATTTTCTTTCTTTTTAATCATACATTCAAATGCATAACATATAACACAGACCCTTATGCCAACTTTGTAGAGTGTAGATTGATTTTGACAACTTATAATAGCCATAAATTGTTCAACACCTTTGACAATTTGAGAGTATAATTCATCATGATTTGCCAATGGATAAAATTCAAAAAAGAGATGGATTCCAAACTCTTTTAGATTGAGATTTTTTTATTGTGCTCGGGAGTATCCGCATAGGTACTTTCCTTTTTTTCAAAATAAAAAAAATATAATTCCATTTAATTTTTTTTTTCATAATTTTCTCATAATCCTTCATGTTTTCTATTTTTAGAAAAGAAAATGGTATTTTCGGAACACTAAAAAAGCGCTCTCTAAATTGATGGTGGAAAGAATTTGAGGCAAAATTGAATTTGTCCTTTTAAACTCAGATTTTACAATCTTCTTTGATAGTGGGAAGAAAGAAGAAGCAAAATTGAGTTTGACTTCTAATATTACTGTTGTTCGAAAATTGTGCAATAAAGCATGTCAAAGGAAAACAAAAATTATAATGAGAAAAGGTGGAGTAGAAAACTTGAAAATTGAAATTGAAGAGTTGTATATAATCATAGGCTAATTAGAGGGAAGTGCTATGATAGAACTGTTGATTGAAATTCTGAATCATTCAAACATTTGATACAAGATTCGAAGGAGGCTAATTTCACGCATACCTAATTTAAACATTCAGCAGCAAATTAATTATAATTAGTATGGAAATCGTACGAGATTTTCATAAAAAAAGAAATTAAAGCACAAGTAGTTATAAGGGAAAAAATGTATAATGACCCTCACATTTATTATGGATTTAATATTGAAGGATAATTATAAAGAAAAAGAAATAAAATCACCCTTGGTGAAAAATGAGTTAAAATAACAGTTCAGGGGTAAAAATACGGGTAAACAAAATTACCTGAAAAGTGAAAGTAAAGTTAGAAATATGACTAAAAAAGTATTCTATTCCAGTGAATAAAGTTTGGTAATTAATGGAGGTATATAGATAGATGAGCTCATACCTGCTGATATAATGAACTGACTTAAGTAACTAAGTGAGTCACTTTCCACAATTATAAATCCGCGTCTTCCACGGGCAGAGACAGATCGATACAGAAGGAAAGGAAAGAAAATAGGAGAAATTGATGGAAAATCTTCCAAAATTCATAACTTGAGTTAGAGACCTCCAAATCACTTCGTTCTAAAGCCAAACTTGTGAGAAATTTTGAGAGGAATCCATTGGTACCAGTATTTCTGGATGGGCTTCACTGTAGAGAGAGATCTTCTTCCTCTAAAATTTGGATTTCTTTGAAAGAGGGGAATTTTAAAGGAGCTTGAAGCCATGGGAGCTTGAAGCCATGGGAGCTTGAAGTAAGCTTTTCCCTTCGTTCTAAGTTTATGTTGAGAAATCCTAATTTTCTTTGAGTTTTGAGGAAGATTTGATTTAGTTTTCTATTTTGAAAGTTTGGTTTGATTGAGCATGTTAGAGCTTGATTGAGGCTTGGCTCATGTTGAATAAAGTGTTTAGATGAAGATTTTAACGGTGAAAATGTATTTAGAAAATTTAAGATATCGTATTTTTTTTTTTGATAACAAGATATCGTATTTTTGAATAGTGACGTATATGAATAGTAGCGTATACGTGAATAGTGACGTATACATGAATAGTACTGTAGAGATGAACAGTTCCGTATGTATGAATAGTTAAAAAATATTTGACAAGTAAAAGATAAAATCAATAAATGGTGTGTCTGGTTAACTACTTCGCTTTGAACCATTTTATTGATATTTGTATGGATTCCCTATTCTAGGTGCGCCTAAGAGTCTTGTTGAGGATCCTACATAAGAGGAGGCTTGGTAACTCGGTTGTTGGGTAGGCCATCTATACAACTTTGAGAGGTAAGCTCTATGTTCATGAGATTCGCTCCTACTTTGTGTTCTGCCATAGTGTACGAACTGTGGTCAGGTTGTATGATATGTATGAGATATATGATATAGATGCATTCATATAGAAATATATGATGATGTGATGTGATATGTTTTGATGTGTTTAATTTGATATGTTTTGATGTGTTTACTTTGATATGTTTTGATGTGATTTCTGTAATGATCTATGACCATTGATTTTATATGCACTGATGTCCGCTTGGGGTCCTCCCTTGGGACTGACTGTGTATATATCTGTTATATGTTGAGTTCCGCTTGGGGTCATCCCTTGGGAACATGTGCACTGATTTTTGCTTGGGGTCCTCCCTTAGGATTGATTGTGTACACCTTTGTTATGTGGTGATCTCTGGCCATTGATCCTATGTGCACTGATGTCTGCTTGCGGTCATCCCTCGGGACTGATGGTGTACACCTCTGATATGTTCTGGCTCCGCTTGGTGTCCTCCCTTAGGAACACGTATGTTGATTTCCGCTTGGGGTCATCCCTTGGGAATGACTGCGTACGTCTCTGATAAGATATGTTTTGTTCTGATGTGATTATTGTGTTGATTTTCGTAAATGAGTTTATGTGTGTTGATTTCCTCTTGAGGTCCTCCATTGGGAAATACTACATGCATCTCTGATAAGATATGTATATATGCTCAGTTTAGTTATGATATTTGTTACTTGCGTTAATTTTCGCTTGGGGTCCTCCCTTGGGAAATACTGTATGCATCTTTGATAAGATATGTGTATATGCTTGTTCAACTATGATATTTGCTTATATGATGTTTTGTATATTATGTATCTGACTGTCATGCAACAAGTGAGCCCAGGGTATGGAGAGTTTTTCATAAACCTGGAGCTTACTAGAGATTCGTCTCTAACCCTGTTTGGGGATATGATTTCAGGAACACATTTAATTGAAGAGCTCTCACGGGACAAGGACACTACCCGTGGCTAGAGGTACTAGTATGAGGATATGGAGTTCTGGGTGGCCGGACGCTACTATTTATTATAGATGTTATTTATGGAGAATATGTACTGTTGTATAGTGTTCTATTCATTTTGGGATCATGATGTTTGATCCATTATACAATATATGGTCCGTATATGTTTTGTACATGTGTTCGTATTTGATGCAAGTACATTTGTGTATTCAGATATGTGCATGTACTGAAATATGTATGCTGTTAGACATAGTGACACAGAGCCAGTTATGCATGCTCCCATGGATGAGTATATAGTCCTATATAGATATCTGGTATTTTTGAAATCATATATGGTATAAACTGTTTATCAAGAACCTTTGAGAGTGGGATTGACAAATCCCCAGTTGTCCAATTTACAGAGGTTACTTTGCCCGATTTTCGTCTTCGTCAAATAAAAATTAAATTAGGAGAAGTATGCAATGTGAGATATCATGTGAATTAAGATTAATGAAAAAGGAAAAAAAGTTAGCTCGTATTTTCGTAAGTTAAGTCTTTCGTTGTTTTTGTTTTTATCATATGTATGTTAATTGAACCGGCTCCAGACGGAGATGTTACAAAATGTTTGTCATTTTAAATGACATAAAGTTATGTCATTTTGAGTACCACTTATGGGAGGAGTTTAAAGCCTTAATCCTGGACCCGCCCCGAATCGGATTAGCTGCGAAGCAATGAATCGATTGGAATATTTTCAAAAAAAATAAAAATGACAAACATCAAACCCAGTTATAAAAGTAGTACATAAAAAAGAAAATTGCGATTTTAGAGAAAGTAACTTTGTCTCCTCTTCTTCATGTATTCTCATATAAAAAAAGGTTTATTTTTTCTGCAGTCACTACAGATAAGTTATCTATAGTAACCCCAATACGACGTCATTTTGGAGAGAAAATCATGGTATTTTTATAATTTTAATGTATTTCAGGATTATTATAGTCTTTATAATTATAATTTTTTAATCTCAAAATGACGTCGTTTTGGGAATAAACGCATATAACTTATCTACAGTAATTACAGAAATGTTTTTCTGATAAAAAAATTGACCATCTGCCTAAATAAATCATTAAATTTTAAAAAGCAAAGCATTTCCATCTTTATTCTCTCTTTTTTCATTGCTCTCAAAATTTTCTTTTTCTTTAAATATTGAGTTTCTAAATTATTAGCACAATTTTGTACCAAATTCCCAAGTGAAGGAAGGAGTTCTACGTTCAAAAATTAGAATCAATGGGTATTATGGAGTAGGCCCATAGGCACTGAGAGTCCATTTAAAAAATTGGGCGATGCTGTGAAAAATCAAGAAGACTGAGCTTGCTGGATGAATAAACACATATTGGTCAAATGCTAAAGCGGTAAACGAGCATGCAACAAGAAGACAATTCCTCAAACACAAACTTTTAGGCTTTTTGATCCTTTTGCCCCTTATTAATTAATTAATTAATAATCATTTTGTCTCTTACCCAAAATTATCCACCAAACTGCCCCTCTTTAATCGATTAACTTAAATATTTAAGATGGTAAATGGTCAAAATACGCAAAAAAACGTTAACCCGAAGTTTAATCGATTAAATATCCCTCTTAATTGATTAAAATTCGGGATATTTAATCGATTAAACCTCAGCAGAAACCCTATATTTTCCCCCTTCTCGGTCTCATTTCAAATATTCTCGTTTTGTAAACCAAAATCTCTCATGTTTGTCATCTGTAATCATTGCAATCAAGATTCTATTTCATCTGACCATCTCTAAAGCCTTAATTTTGTGAAATCATTGTTATTGCACTTATATATTCCTTTGTTGCCCCCAAAATCCGAACCTAAACCCCCAAAATCCGAACCCTAGTCCCAAATTCGAGTGAAAGATGAGCTCAAGTTCAAACATGTATGTTACAGTGATCTACCACGATTGAAGGTGTTATGAAGGTCCCAATGGTGTTCAATTTGAAGGAAAAACGAAAATGTTGAAGATCAAATGGGGCACTACATACAACGAGCTCAAGGGGAGAATTCACCAAAAATTGGGGCTACAAGGCAACCAATACATTCAGCGGATGATAGGCAGAGTAGAGTCTACAGTTGGTAAGGATGCTATAAGCTACATTAGCAACAATATATATCCCGAGTTTTAATCGATTAAGAGGGATATTTAATCGATTAAACCTCGGGTCAACGTTTTTTTGCGCATTTTGACCATTTAACAGATTAAATATTTAAGTTAATCGATTAAAGAAGGTAGGTTGGTGGATAGTTTTGGGTAAGAGACAAAATGATTATTAATTAATTAATGAGGGGCAATAAGGTCAAAAAGTCCAAGATTTTAAAGTAAACTAATAAATGAGACTAACAACTTTTGTTCCTTTACACTTTCGGCTTTTGCACGAAAAGCCAAGGGGAAAAAATCTCCAAAATTATATGTTTATTGTTGAGTATGGCTCATACTTCGCATGGTGATGAGGGCCCTTGTTGTCGGGGTCAACATAAAGGAAACAGGGGTCTCGCTCCCAGGTGAGCGAGCGGGGGTCCGGGGTCAATGCCCCCAGGCCCGTACGTAGAGGCTAGATACTGTTTTGGGCCTCTGATTTATTGTAATTTTCTTAGTAGTTTGGGCTTGAACTCATGAATAGCTGTTGTTAGGATTTTCTAATGCTATTTATATTTTCCTTGTAAATCGAGTGACTTGTAATAAGTGGCGGTGAGGTGAATATAATACAGATAAGCTGGACGTAGCATATATTGGATGAACCAGGATAAATCACCGTGTCAATCTCTTTTCTCTTTTCTGTTTTGTCGATTTTGTGTGATTGTCGATTTCCAACACTTATGTTTCACCGATACGGGATATGACTTAATACTCTGATACGTTAATTATAAAAAATATTAGATTTTAACAAGTTAGTATATGTTTTGATATGAAATAATATTTTTAATTTATATAATGTATATTATATTTAATATTCAATAATTTAACAAAAAAATAAACTAAACTTATAATATCTATCAATTTTTCAAAGAAATATAAAATATAAATATTTACGATTATATTTTCAAATTGAAAATCTCTTATACATTCCAATGAGATTTATTCAGTATTCACTTTTAATTTTTATTATATCAGTTTGCTAAAATATGAAAGTGTCAGACTGGAAACATAGATTTTTTGAAGTATCGGTTGAACTAAGAACTAATGTATGTCGGTGTCTTTTGGTCACAAGCATATTAATTCAAGTGAGTCCTGATATTCTATTTAAGAGACATCTCCTGCAAAGAATTGAAAGACGACCCATTGGACGATCGTATCCAATTCTTCTTCTACTCTGCTTAGCAAGTCCTGAAATGAACTTCGTTTTTTCTCCGAGGAAAACCCATTGTTTCTCTTTCCTGTTTGTTACTCCACACACAACTATAAAATGATCACAAGTAACTAGTATGACAAATCAAGTATTTCAAGTCTGATGCTTTATGACGCAATTGATGGTGCAATGATGAATCCAATGGTTAATGAGTTATTTTATTGAATGAACATCACATGGAGTTGTCTTGTATTGCTTGGAAATGAAACAGATTTGTATAGCAAAGTACCTTGTTATTGTTTAACTAATATAAGGACATGCTTCTTTATGTTCAAGAGACATGCTCTCAAGACATCTCACATTTTCACATTCTCACACATAACTCTCGGGTCACTATATTTATGGATTAACCTTAATATAAATTATCCATTGTTACAATGGCTGTATATATGAGAGCTATAAGATTGTTGATAAATACTTGCAAATCAGCGGTCTGCTTGAAGCTTAAATTCAATGGTTGCATACTACAATGTATCCAGTCAAAATCAATGCCATTCTTTGTCCGAACAACTTGCACAACAAGTCCTTGTTAAGAGCAAGCAAAGTTCTTCTGATTGTAGACTCCATCAAGATCCCAACGTTTACAACTGCGCAAGTACAATGCAACATGTAATTTAATTGGGGATTGAGACATTGTTGTAAGGTGGGATCTACTATCGGTATATCCCTTTCTTCATTTTCGCTACAATTTTCCTGTCGGTAACCATATAAGGTGAAAAAGCTGGGATCTTCTCTCACAAAACACGGCTTACTGAGATGGGGCCTTAATTTATACAGCTCATTGATTGAGAAGCTCAATAGATACGTGTCTCATGTGACACTGTTGAATAATGTATTTCAACTTATTGTTATTTGGCTTGAACTAAATGTTGTCCCTCTTCCTGGTAAGTGAAAACCCATTGTATTTTGTTTCTTCACACAAGAACGACAAAATGATCTCAAAGGACAAGTAAAAGAATGCAATAAATTTGAATTCTGCTGATTTAATGTAAGATTGACTTGTGTGGCTTGTGTACTCGATCAATGACAGATATCTATAGATAATGCAAGCCTTTCTCAACTGAATTGGATGGTGATTGTGCTATTTGATGGGGTCTAGTGAGAGACAAGGATCATTAAAGTTCATATGGCATGTTTTGGATAGTTTATCATCTCAAGTATTACTTGAGATATAGGAAAATCTACTTGAGAGTTTTTACATCACAGTGTCTAGAGACGAGGAGAAGCTCTTTTAATGACATCATCCTAACTAGTGTTACTAGTACTTGGAATACATGATAACCATAATTGTGCAGTGGTTTTACAACTACTATTGTAGATTAGTTACAGATTTCTTATGACTTATATTAAAGCTGTAAAGAACCAATTCAACCCAAAAGTTTAAGCTGTTAGGTAAGGTTACATTAATGGTTTTATATATCTCAACACGTTCCCTCACATGAGAGCCACTGGGCTTGAAGTGTGGACAATACACAGGCTCACCTACTTGTGCGAAGAAAGAAATTCCACTAGAAAGAGAGTGAGGGGCGGTGAGGATCGAACCCGGTACACCGAGGCTCTGATACTATGTACAAAATTAATTCAATCCAAAAGCTTAAGCTGTTAGGTAAGGTTACGTTAATGATTTTATATATCTCAACAAAAGCAAAGCAAGAGGTACTTCCATTCTAAAAGTAAACTGTAAGACAAGCATGAGAAGGTTAAGTAATGCTTACTGATCAAGTAGTCAAAATCGAGATTTTAATTAAGAGCAAGAAGGGATGGCAAGATTTTAATCGAGATTTTACAATCCATGTCAAGATTGTAAATTGTGAAATCGACACGGATTGTTAAAATCTTACTTTTCTATTTTTAACAAAAAAAGAATATTTATCCATCAACAGAATTGAATTGTTTTTGTGAAAAAAATCGTAAAACTGGTGATCTTACTCTATTTAAATTGCGATTTTGACTACGTTGCTGCTGATCAGTATTCAACTGAAACAACCAATGTTTGTGAGTTTCAGTTTTGGGAGAGGGCACGGAGAAGTCTAGTAGTTAAACAACCGGTGCAAAGGCAATCTCTGAGGACATTGTTGGCTTGCCATATTAATTAGGCTAAATAATCAAGAGTTATTTAGTTCAAGAATTTTGGTTAGCTAACTGGAACGAGCAAAACTGATGTTTTTACAGAGAAAGTTATAGTTCTTCTTCAATAACGACCCCTACTGTGCTAGTATTTGGAGAAATAAACGGCTTAAACTAATGACTATAATTTGTAAGCATAGCAGTGCATCATAAGCAGCAAATTAATTCAATTGTTAACATGCACCATTTAGTTGGATTTGTGGTCACATGGATGCCTCGTAATGTGAGAAAAAAACAAAATAAAAGGGAGTACTGACTTGACCAAACTTGAATTTCATATATTTATATTTAGTTATTCAACTTATAATCAGTTAAAGGTATACTTAGTTGCGGAACTAAAAAATTTATTTATTTTTGCATATTTAATAGTGGGGGACGAAAATTTGTTTTTAAAGAAAATTTTAAATGTATTAAAATTAAAATAATATAAATAAGTAGCCCTTTTGAAATTTTTGAATATTCAACAAATATTATAAGCCCAATTTAATCCCTTACAAAAAAGTCGACTAGTGATATCTTTCAAATTTAAAATAGACTCATGTTAATCATTTTAAGAGATTAACGTGGATCTTCTTTGAATTTCAGAAGTACTACGATTTTAATCAACTTGGTCTATTTTGAAATTCAGATGGAAATCACAAGTTGACTTTTTTTTTCTATAAAAGATTAAATTAGATCAGTAATTTTTGTTTACGAATAAAAAGTACTTTATTTATTATATTTTTTTTTTCAAAGACTTATCTCTGCACCTGCACAGAGGCACAATTGCATGTACGCGCTTGTGGGTACACTTCTCCTTCGATAGATCAGCATTTTACGAACCCAACCGACAAGTGAAATTCTTACGTATGTTAATATATAATGGATTTTGGAAGTAATATTTTGCTGCTATAAGAAATTGGTGAGAATTTTAAAGGATGAAAACATTGAGTACAGGTTTAGTCAATATCTCCAAAAGAAATCTAACTCTAAATTCCATTAATGCACTTCTTCGTACAAAAGTTGCGGGAGCGCAGAAAAAGTATAGTGATTTTTTTTCCTATACAAGTTGAGAAGATTCCTATTGTACAAAGTGTCTCTTCTAATCTATGTTAGTTTAAAACAGTGTGAGATTTATAGGCCATTCAAGCGAGATTTGATGTGAAGGAATTCATCTTCGCTGCATGGAATTGTGAGGCCACCCATGGGATGATCATATCCAAACTCCTCCTCAGCTTGGTTCAGCAAATCCTGAAATGAAGGTTGGTTCAGGTATGATATTGGGATCACAAACCGCGTCTGTTTCTCTCCAACATACACTGCAAGATAGCCCTTTGGAACTTCTACGGATTTTGAAGCTGCTTGGCTAGCAGAGAATGATGCACGTCGAATAGTAGGTAAACGGAAACCCATCTTTCGTGTTTGTTTAGTTTGAAGGAAGAAGAACAATGCAAATTAAAGCTCTCAAATTTAAGAAGAATGTGTTTTATGTTTTGATGCTTCAGGATGCCAATGACTTGTGTTGGCAAGAGTAAGTATATTTATAGTTTTCAAGATCCCCTGAAAACCCATTTACAAGAGAAATGAAAAATGATTGTTGAAGGGGTTAAACGATGTAGGGCATACAGATGCATGAGATATCACGTGGTGTTGTCTTAGAGGCCTCTATCATGTATTAAGAGTGTATACCCCCACCTTCTCAAACAATGGCCAATATGGAGCATCCACTTGCAACCAAATGAGACGTGCTCAAGTGAAAAACCTAATGTTTCTTCATACATTAATTGGTACTCCATAATTTCGCAAACATGCTTTAGACATGTTTACATGATTTTGATAACGTAGCTTAATGCAAATGTACAGCTGGTAAGTGACATCTGCCTCACGAATTATAAGGCAATGGATAGTTACATATCATTTCTGAGGTTTGTGATCATGTCTGTTTTATCTCAAGTGGGGTAACGTGTTGGTCTTATCTTCGCTTCAGAAGGTGAGACTTGTATTATCTTGTATAATGTGGTGATCCTTGAGAAAGTCACAAGACAACACCATGTGACCTCTTATTTGCCCTTGTCTCCCAGTAGGTCCTAGCACTTCTCATCCACCACTCATCAAAGAAGCCAACGGTATCCATTTGTCTATATATATTCATGGCTGCAAGCATATTCAGGACCAACACAAATCATTCACATCCTGAAGCATTCGAAATTCAAAAACTTGTACAAGTCTTCTTTTTTGAGATCTTTATCTTCTCAAGTCTCAACACATATATATAAAAATGGGTTTTCGTTTACCAGGTATCAGAAGAGCATCATTTGTTGCAAATAAAGCATCTTCAAAATCTGTAGAAGTGCCAAAGGGCTATCTTGCAGTGTATGTTGGAGAGAAAATGAAGCGGTTTGTGATCCCAATTTCATACTTGAGCCAACCTTCATTCCAAGACTTGCTGAGTCAAGCTGAGGAAGAGTTTGGATATGATCATCCCATGGGTGGCCTTACAATTCCTTGCAGCGAAGATGTGTTCCAACATATCACTTCTCGCTTGGATAGATGCTAACAATGTGCACATAAGACTGACGTAGACATATCTTAACACAATTTTTGTAACACAGTTTCTTACCTTGAAAATATATATATATATATATATTTTTTTATCCTGCTTTGGAAACTGTAAAAATGTTCATCTCAATGAGAAGTTTATGAAGATTCCCGTATTTGTCTCATGTTCCTTTCAAATATCAATGTGAAAATCAAAGGCATAAGCTGAATGTTCAGTTTATTATGTAGATGAAAAAAAATGAAAAATCCTTATCTTGGTCGTGATAAGGAAAAAAGAGATAAAAATTAAGAGAAAGGTGAAATTAAGTAACTATATTATGATTTAATGATTATAAATAAATTATATGGGAGAAAAATTATGATAGAATTTAGAACGAAATTATTGGATATAGAATTTAGATGAAAATTATGTTAATTTAAATCATAATAATTCTTAAGGTATCAAATTGAATTAAAATCATTGACAAGACATTTAGGACAAGGTTCAATAACAAAATAGCTAATTTTATTTTTTTGTTTTCAAAACAATAATTACATTTAGGACAAAGTTACTCCACCCCAAACTCGCTAGTCGGATAGTGATTTTTTAAAACAATAATTACATTTCATAAGTGAAGAGTTGACATTGGTTTTATCTAATTCTTTGAGATTTTAGGACTAGCCACATAGTTTATCATGGCCTACTATCTTACTTTTGAAATCTTTGTGAACCATCACTTCTTGGTACACGATGGCCCTTGAAACATGGCGTGTTCGACCCAGGATCGAATTTCATCCATATGTAAAACACTGGTCCTAGTGAAGCTAGGAAATTGAAATAGGTAATTTCATTTTTTTTTTTTTATATAGCCACAGCCACTCCCACTTGTTGTCATGATATGATGGGCTTCATTGGGTTCCTGGTTCCAGCTCCAACGGAGAGCCCCATTTGCATATGATAACTTATTCTTCACATGAGCATGTATAATACCCCAAACTTAAGGATTTAATTGATCAATTTTAATTAAATAATTAAGCATGTTTTAGTGAGTAAAATTAAGTATAAGGCTTAATTAAATGAATCTGAGTCACTTTGGAGTTAAAAAGTATACTCAGTGAAAATTAAGGGGTATAAATGGGTACTGGCGAAAGTGCCCAAAATATAAAAATAAAATTATAAATATTCCTAGAATAATATTCTAGACTTTTGGGTAAAGTTTGGTCATTAATGGAGTTGAATAGATAGACGAACTAATACCCGCATTATTTCACTTAACCAATGTTAAGTGATAAAGAACACAAAAGAACCCAAACCCCCCAAGCAACCCGTCGAGCATCAGAGAAGAGGAAAGGAAGAAGGAGAAAGAAGAAGAAGGGAAATGAGGGAGGAAGAGAGAGTGAGAGCAAATCTTAACCGATTGGAGTGATTCAAAAGCCTAAACCACTCTAAATCTTCCCCTCTTTCATAATCTAAGCTTAGTTTGGAGTGGGGAGCATTGTGGTGAGAGATATTGCCTCTCAAAAATTCGGCCCTTTGTGAGATTTTGGGGTTTTGGGGGTTTCAACCTCCATGGAAGCTTGAGGAACACTCATTCCTCTATTGTGTGATCATTGGTGGTAAGTTTCCACTCTCTTTCACATGATTCTTGGAGATTTGCATGAGTTTAGGGTTAATGAATAGTGTTTTAGGGTTTTTATGAAATGTTGAGTAGATTGGCTATGTTCAAGGAAGAATGAGGCTTAGAGTATGTTGTGAAAAATGCTAGGAATGACATTTAATCGGTAGAAATGAGTTTATAGTGTTATTTTAGTATGCTTTGATGTTTGGAGAAATCTAGGCTTGGAACTATGGATTTCCTTGCATTGTTAGCATTGTTTGATTGTATTCCTTGTGTTGATAGGATTGAGGCAAGAGGACCAAGTGGAGTGACCAACCCTTGGGGTTGTGTGCAATTGAGGAAAGCTCAAAGAGCAAGGTAAACCTTTGGACCTTGTGGTTGATCCCATTGAGTGTTCCACCATACTCCGTTGAGGAGAAATGGTTTATGAGATGTGATATGTAATTATGATAGTGATTGTATGCTCATGCATTGATTCATGCATTGATACATGTTATGATTGATTGATGATTATTGGTTGATGTTTGATTGTTTAAGAGTAATTGAGGAATGATTATAGAAGTAGCAATAATGAATGAGGTAATGGTTGAGGATTGTGATTGAGGTTATGCGTGATAGTATTATGATGAGGATGATTGGTAGGAACTTCCCTTGGAAACAGCCCTATGTGGATCTCCATGTGGTTAGAGCCTAAGAGGAACAGCCCTATGTGGATCCCTCTTGGAGGTTCCTAGATTGAGGAAAGGACTTCCCTTGGAAACAGCCCTATGTGGATCTCCATGTGGTTAGAGCCTAAGAGGAACAGCCCTATGTGGATCCCTCTTGGAGGTTCCTAGATTGAGGAAAGGACTTCCCTTGGAAACAGCCCTATGTGGATCTCCATGTGGTTAGAGCCTAAGAGGAACAGCCCTATGTGGATCCCTCTTGGAGGTTCCTAGATTGAGGAAAGGACTTCCCTTGGAAACAGCCCTAGGTGGATCTCCATGTGGTAAGAGCCTAAGAGAAACAGCCCTTTGAGGATCTCTCTTGGAATAGATTGAGGAAAAGACTTCCCTTGGAAACAGCCCTATGTGGATCTCCATGTGGTAAGAGCCTAAGAGAAACAGCCCATAGTGGATCTCTCTTGGAAGTCCATGTGATGCTTGTGGATAAGAATGTGTTAAGCTATTATGATTATGTGTACACCAAAGTGAACCTTAGGGTGGAGTGATCTCCAAGGACCTCTGGTTTACTGTGATATATTCGTATATCTCACCCCGTGTTGTGGGGCATCATTTCAGGTACTGATAGAGGTGAGGTTGATCGAGGCAAGAAGCGTGAGTAGACTGTACCTGATAGCTGGACATGTTGAGTTGCATGCCATTTAGCATTGCTATATGTATATTTTGATGCCACATGATGTATTTTGGAGGACTTAGTGCATGATCATTGTAGTAGTAATGGGTATCTGATACATGGTTACTTGCTTTGATCATGTTCATTTTGTAGCTAAGTCCTTTGGCATGTATATGAGATTTGTAATTAAGACATGATGTAATATTGTAAGTAATGAAGATATTTGTGTATGATGCTTACTGTAAGTTAAATGCATGAATGTATTTTTATGTATTGGATATGTTGAGCTGGAAAGTCAATTAGGTACCTTGTGCTAAGTTGGGAAACGTTGAGAAAACAAAGATTATGCTGCCCAATTTCCGTTAAATCAATGATGAGAGGATGAGAGTTGAGCAATGATATAGGGATATCACAAGCTTGTTAAATAGGTTGTAAAATGTGTAGGATTGATTCCCCAAGAAAGATGCATGAAAAATATGAGTATAGGAAATTGCCCAGAAGAGGGGGCTTAAGCCTGCAAATGGAGGCTTAAGCCTGCTCAGGGGGCTTAAGCGCCCATGAGGGGGCTTAAGCGCCCTGATGCACCTGTGAAGACCAAAAGCTTTCTGCCGCATGGGGCTTTAGCGCCCAAAATGGGGGCTTAAGCGCCCAGGTAGCGCGCTTAAGCGCCCTGGAGCGAGCTTAAGCGCCCTTGGTGGCTAAAAAATGTAAATTCCCTCTGTCTGTGGGCGCTTAAGCGCCCTGGAGCGAGCTTAAGCGCCCTACCCGCGTAGTTTTTCAGCATACACCTGAGTTAGTAAAATTGTCATAACTTGAGCTACAGAGCTCCAAATGAGGAGCGGTTTGAAACCACGCGTAGCTAACAAAGAGATCTACAATATATTAGAAGTTGGGAAATAAATAAGAAGTAAATTAATGTTTTAAAAATGGAATAAGAACATGATATTAAGCTTGATTTATCTGATTCCGCAAAGTAATATGGTTATGATCACGCAATTGGGCATTATAAATTCGGCATGTTTTAAAATGAAAAATTTAACCGGATTTTAATTGAACCCATGTGATTGTAACTGCGCTTAATATCATAATGCGATGTTAACAAACCGGTTCTAGAACGGGGTGTTACATTTTATGGTATCAGAGCAGTTTCGTCGGGAATAACTGCTAGCTATTGTTGAGTATGCTTAGTGTTTGATGCTTTATAGTTGTTTTAGTACTCTTGATGATTATTGCATTTGTGATCACTAAGTGTGGGCGTGATCAACTCACTTCTTTGTGTAACATGTGTAGTGACATGACGAGGCACCGAAACAACCCCGGACCATCAAACACCAATGCTCAGCCAGAACCTGTTTTGGCTGCTCTTGTGAGGCCCAGAAGTGGCCGTGGGGCAACGGGCGTACCGCCTGATCCCGTGGCTGAAGCTCTTGCAGCCGTTCAGAGAGAGTTGGCTGCTAGCAGGCAAGCCAATGAAAATTTGTTAAAGACAAATGAAGACTCGCGGACTGCTATGGCCGCGATGATGACCGAGTTGAGGACGTTGAGGGGTCCTAGGCCCGTGAACCGGCAACCCACTCCTCCTCCTCACACTGCTACGCCTTCTCCACCTCCTTCACAGGAAGAGGGTGTAGCGGGTAACAATGAAGGTGAGGCTAGCCACCATTCTGATAGTCATAGCCATCACATTGAGGTCCGTCAACCACGTGTTGAGCGTGTTGACGAGCATGAAGCTGAAGAAAGAAGATTGATGGCTTTCCGAAAACACAAACCTCCTTCTTTTAAGGGAGGTTATGAGCCAATGGCGGCTGCGAAATGGCTCCAAGCTGTGGAGAAGATATTCAGGGTGATGAGATGCCCTGATGCAATGAAGTTGGCCTACTGTGTTTATATGCTGGAAGAGGAAGCGGAAGATTGGTGGACCAATACCGTGCAGCCATTAGAAGCTGAAGGCCGGGAAATCACCTGGCGGTTGTTCGAGACGTTGTTCTTGGATAACTACTTCCCTAGGGAGGCTAGGGAACAGAAACAGAATGAGTATAACGATCTCAAGCAAGGGTCGATGACAATTGACCAATATTTCGCCAAGTTCAATGAATTGGTGAAATATGCTAACTATGGGAGAGCCTTACCCATTCCGGCCGAGATGACCTCTAAATTTCAATGGGGTCTAAATGAGAAGATGTCTCGAAAGATGTCAAATTGTGACATCCGAGAGTTTAGTAGATTCGTGAACCAATGCCGGAAGGTGGAAGAAGTTTATGGTGTGCCGAAAAGTAAGAAGTCTTCCGAGGCACAAGCATCTGGTGCTAGTGGAGCAATTGGCTCTACTTCAGAAAAGGGTAAGAAGATGGATGACAGGAATATTAAAGAAAGATTACAAGCTAAACAATCTGAGGAAAAGTTTAAGAGAAGCGGGAGTCAACAGAGTTGGGACAATGAAAGACCTCTTGTGCCCCAGTGTGACAACTGTGGGAGGCATCACAAGGGCGTTTGTTTGATGGGTCAAAACGTATGTTTCAAGTGTGCTAGACCTGGTCACTATGCGAGGGATTGTCCCCAAATCGTGGGACGAGTTGCTCATGTGCAAGTGGTCTCTGGTCTTCCAGCAGCGGCACATGTTAGCACTTCGACCCAACCCCAGCTAGAGAGGTTCCCATACTTGACGGGAGGTATGACGCATGTAGATTAATATGACATGCATAGTTTATTGAGGTTGGAGCCACACATGCTTAGACTGTGGACTCAATTATGATTGTGTGACTCGTTATGTCTAGTAATTAAAGACTAGACTATGTATTGATTGCTAAAAGATGGTAAATTGTATGCAATGACCTTTCCATGGATGTAGTGGTATTACCTCCATGAGGATAGTATCCTATGAGATAGAGAATTCTCATGAAAGGTCTATATTGAGGGGAACTTCCCTTGGAGTTAGCCTTCGGGACCTCCTTGTGGTCAGATACCTAAGAGAAACAGCCCATAGCGGATCTCTCTTGGAAGTTCCATCAGATGAGATTTTATGTATGAGGTTATTAGTAGGACCGCAGAAGGTCAGGGTTAAATATCAAGTGAATAGGTATGACCCTTGAGGAAAATGAAAGATAAAAGTGCTGGAACATATTAGTATCACCTAATTATAAAACATAGATTGAATCATGAATGAAACATTTCATCTTATGATAAGATGATGAGGAAAAGAGGAACTGAATAATAGGGTAACTTCGGGAACACAAGAAGAGTTCTCGGATAAATCCATAGATGATTGAATGAGTGGTTTTATCGATTTTGAGGACAAAATCGTTAAAAAGGTGGGGTGAATATAATACCCCAAACTTAAGGATTTAATTGATTAATTTTAATTAAATAATTAAGCATGTTTTAGTGAGTAAAATTAAGTATAAGGCTTAATTAAATGAATCTGAGTCACTTTGGAGTTAAAAAGTATACTCAGTGAAAATTAAGGGGTATAAATGGGTACTGGCGAAAGTGCCCAAAATATAAAAATAAAATTATAAATATTCCTAGAATAATATTCTAGACTTTTGGGTAAAGTTTGGTCATTAATGGAGTTGAATAGATAGACGAACTAATACCCGCATTATTTCACTTAACCAATGTTAAGTGATAAAGAACACAAAAGAACCCAAACCCCCCCAAGCAACCCGTCGAGCATCAGAGAAGAGGAAAGGAAGAAGGAGAAAGAAGAAGAAGGGAAATGAGGGAGGAAGAGAGAGTGAGAGCAAATCTTAACCGATTGGAGTGATTCAAAAGCCTAAACCACTCTAAATCTTCCCCTCTTTCATAATCTAAGCTTAGTTTGGAGTGGGGAGCATTGTGGTGAGAGATATTGCCTCTCAAAAATTCGGCCCTTTGTGAGATTTTGGGGTTTTGGGGGTTTCTACCTCCATGGAAGCTTGAGGAACACTCATTCCTCTATTGTGTGATCATTGGTGGTAAGTTTCCACTCTCTTTCACATGATTCTTGGAGATTTGCATGAGTTTAGGGTTAATGAATAGTGTTTTAGGGTTTTTATGAAATGTTGAGTAGATTGGCTATGTTCAAGGAAGAATGAGGCT